TCTTCTGGGATTACGAAGTAAAGCCTCTGTGTTTTTGTGTGTGTCTGTGTGGCTGGGTAGTGGGGGAGCGGCTTCTATTTCAGTCTGTTTGTATTCCTATTTGAGACCTTTTAGAAAATATACTACAGCTACTACTACTACTAATACTTCCAATATTATTAGTATAATTTATTAAGTGCTTATCACATGTCACCCAAAAAGACAAATTATCCAGTTAAGAAATGGGCAGAAGACATGAATAGACATTTTTCCAAAGAAGATATCTAGACGGCCAACAGACACATGAAAAGATGCTGAACATCACTCATCATCAGGGAAATACAAATCAAAACCACAATGAGATACCAGGTCAGAATGGCTAAAATCAGCACCACAGGAAACAGATGTTGGCAAGGATGCAGAGAAAGGGGAACCTTCTTATACTGATGGTGGGAATACAAACTGGTGCAGCCACTCTGGAAAACATCATGGAGGTTCCTCAGAAAGTTAAAAATAGAACTACCCTATGATCCAGCAATTGCACTACTAGGTATTTACCCAAAAGATAAAAAAATACTGATTCTCAAGGGACACATGCACTGTGATGTTTATAGCAGCATCATCAATAACAGTTAAATTATAGAAAGAGCCCAAATGTTGGTGGACTGATGAATGGATAAAGAAGATGTGGTCTATATACACAATGGAATATTACTCAGACATCAAAAAGAATGAAATCTTGCCATTAGCAACAACGTGGATAGCGCCAGAGTGTATTATGCTAAGTGAAACAAGTCAGTCAGAGAAAGACAAATATCATATAATTTCACTCATGTGTAGAATTTAAGAAACAAAACAGACAAAAAGAAAAAAGAGAGAGGCAAACCAGGAAACAGAGTTAACGATAGAGAACAAACTGAGGGTTGCTGGAGGGGTGGTGGCTGGGGGAATGGGTTAAATGGGTGATGGGAATTAAGGAGGGCACTTGTTGGGATGAGCACTGGGTGTTATACATAAGTGATGAATCATTAAATTCTATTCCTGAAACCAATATTACACAGTATGTTAACTAACTAGATTTTAAATAAAAATTTGAAACAAAAATAAGCAAAAAGAGCTTATCACATGTCAAGTTCACAGTACACCTTAAATTCTATCATAAGGTATGTTCTATTATTACATCCATTTTACAGATGAAACTGAACCATAGAGAGGTTAAGAAACTTCCTTAAGGCTACTTAGCTAGTAGGTGGCAGAGTTGGGATCTAAACCATGGTCATTTAGCTCTAGGATCAACAGTCAATCACCACACAATATACCTTCTGTAAATGCCAGCTACTCTGAGTGCAAGGACAACATAAGATGATGAGTGTCAAAGTCACTTAAGACATCTGAGGATGCATATGTACTCTAAAATAATGACTACAAATCACAGATTCTGAAGTGATTTTCAGAATTATAGGAAAAATAAACAATAGGCAAAAAGGTAGATTAGTTTTTAAAAATGTTTTTCAGTATGTGTATACAGAAAGTCAGGTATATAGGGTTGGGGACAACTGCAAAAGTGTGTTTTAGGGAGCAGATTCTGGAGCTGGGAGTTTTAGCCTTGGTTCCATCATTTAGTCTAATTAATAGCTTAACATCAGAAAAATTACTTCAATCCTTTAGATATGATACTTTCTCTGATCTTCTGCATAGGGTTGAGAATGAATGAGAACACAGAAAAGAAGGCAATCACCAACTAAAAGCATTGTGCTAAACATAGCCCTGCTCTAACTGGTTGAGTGGAGATGGTGGTTTACAAGTGTCTCCACCACACGCTCGTCCTCACAGGCAGTGAGCTGATGTTTCAGCTCTCCACCCCTTTCCTCTCTGTACCCCCAGCTACTCTGTGCAAAGAGCCTGTGCTCTTCTTCTCACCTCCACCTAACAAGGCTTCAATCATTCTTTTCTTCTATCATTTCAACTAATTCCCAAGGTGAAGAACTCACAATTCTTTATGCCATGAATTGTAGTTCTGAAACTGATCAAGTTGTGATTTTGTATAAAATTATGCCAAAAGTCATAATATGGTAGAAGACAAAAGGATGACTCACTAAAAGCCGATTTTTACTGGTTTATTGTTGATAAGTAATATCGACAATATTGTGTAACCTACTCGTTATTTTAATTCTCCAAATCAATTTCCAGTTACTGGGAATTGCTACATACAAATCAAGTTTGGATATTCTAAATTAGATGTCACATCTATATCTACACCAGACAAGCACTCTACATTTGGAATGACAAGGTACATAGACAATCTCTGTTTCATATAGATAAACCAGTCATTCATGAGTATTTTAGTTAACACAGGAAATGTTATTTTGGAGGTAACTGAGTTCAGCCTTTCTGTATGAAAATTTAGGTCTCAATCTATGGTTACTATAGAGGCAGTCCACATGCCTCCTCTCTTCTTACAAGTTGCAGCTCAAAGCCTAGGTGGCAAAGAGTCCCTAGTGCAGCATGAAGTATTATCTCCGAGAGTGGGTATCAGGGAACTGGACATCAGCATCCCCCAACATCAGAAGCACCTCCTTAGAGAAAGTTGAAGGTATATCGGAGCCAGGGAAGGATGGCCATATTGTTAGATATACAGTCTGCAAATCTCTCCCACTTTAAAAAGAATTTTTAACTAATTTAAAAGGCAGATTTATGAAAGGTACAGCATAGGGAATATAGTCAATGATACTATCATGGTGTCGTACGGTGACAGACGGGAGCTACACTTGTGGTGAGCAGAGCATGATATATAGGGAGGTTGAATCACTATGCTGTATGCCTGAAACTAATGTGTGTCAATGATACTTCAATAAAAAAAAGGGGCAGATTCATGTATTGTAATGTATACCATGAAACTGTATCTCCCTGATCATATTAATCATGATATAAAATAGAGTAGGCACATTCAGTCCTGCAGGCTGGGCAAATTAGTATAGCTCTAGGTAATGAAGCAGACCTGTCAAGGTGGGTCCTTTCTGAGGAGTGATAAAAATGTGGGTGCCCCTCTCTGATGATTTTTTTACCATGTGCTGTATTCTGGTAGTGGCTAAGTGAACATTCTGGGTCATGGTTTATTTGTTCTATTTTTCCAGATCTATTTAAATTAAGCATTTAAAAATTTTATCATTAACTTAAAAAATCATATTGATTATATGTTTATTAGATAAAAATTAGCTTAAATTGTATCTGAACTTTAGTTTCAAGTGCATTTTCTGACCATATACCACAATCTTAGATTATCAAAGCAAGCTTACATGAATGCAGAGTACCAGTTAGATATGAGGGTGTGAATACACATACACGCACATATAAACAACGTCCTCGACCCAGATGGTGAAGTGATCTGTCCAGTGTAGTTAAGTATAAAAAACATGGAAATATGAAGGAGCCACCACCTCCTTTTGAGGAAATATCAAAGACTTTATAATTGGGAGATTTTCCCCTTAAATTAGATACATGTTCCTTTATGTAATTTTATCTATTATTTTAGTTACCATTTTAGGTTCTTTCTCAAAAATCCAGCTTCCCCTTGCTACTCTTTAATTACTTCTAGATTATTATCAACACTGCCTCCTTTTCCTTCCCTCTCCACTCCATTGCCTCAACCTTTTAGTCATTAGTTGGCTCTTAAATATGGACTTGATATATTTAATCCTTTGCTAGAAGACGGTTCTTTCAATTTCGGTTCTTAAATTCTTCCAATCATCTCCTATTTTTCTAAATTTCATCTTTCTTTTGGCTCATCACTAAAAGTAGTCTCACCTATCATGCAGAAAAAAATAAAACAAGAGATTCTTGATTTCATTCTGCCTTTTCAATTGTAATAATCTAAAAACAGTTATGCAGGATATATTGTTTTCATCAGCAGTATTGAAATCATGTTCTCACAATATAGAAGACAGATTTTAAATACTAAACAAAAGTGAGAATAATAGTTATCATTACAAAAAGCTTCTGGAGACATATATAAAAAGCTCCTGATACACGCTTGCTGTCACAATGAGAATCCATGCAATTAACTGCTGAAAATAAAGAATGGAAAGAAAGCATTCCCTTTAACTAAAAAACAGGAAAGAAAAACAGATGATCTAATGTAGAAGAAAAATCATGATTTCTATCAAGAGATCACAGTAAAATCCACTCTCAGGAGAAAACACATAACTTTTTGCACTGATGTATGTATATATGTGTGATGTTATACATATCTACTCTGCTTTAGTGTAGTAAAGCACAAGTGAATATGAAGAAACTAAACAGTAAATTCTGCTGTTCCTCAGTCTTAAATCCAACCTCACTTTCTGAAAATCAAACCAATGCCTCATAAACAGAGAAAGACTTGGAGAAAGTTCTATTAACATGAATGAAGATTTTTTAAAAAGGGCCACAAGATGAGCACTTAATTAAAACACACACTTTCTTTAGGCTGTTGAAATATAAAGTCTTTAATTCTCCATTAAAAAAAAAAAACAACAAACCCTGATTATAAGCTTTAAAACCATTTGAAGATGTGAAAGACTATCTGCATTTCAGCCTACTTCAAAGCCGGTAAAGAAATCATTTCTTCTTCTTCCAACTCAGAGTATGTTTAGGAGCAGGACATCTGATAGAAGTGGTATTGCCAATCTAACCAATTTTAAAATATAAAGTGCTTCTAGCAATATTTGGAGACATATAATTTGACAAAAAAGTTTTATAAACCTAAGCTTTGAAAAATAGAAAATATAAGCCCCAGCAAAAAAAAAAAGCATCATTGGTAATTGAAAGAAAATAATATTTTGTAGAAAAAAAATCATCCTTCCAAAAAGAGACAAAAATGACTAACTTTTATTTCCCAAGGGAATTATGCCACTTTTATACAACAAAATTACAGTCACCACAAATTGCTTTCAACAATTCCACTGCTTCTTCATTTGACCACTTGAAAATCAAAATTCTTTCAGATTATAAATATAACTTTTTATAACTCTGTTATTACGTACTGTGAATGGGGAAAGGGGGCCAATCTTGTGGCCGTAGCGTCGAACGGCCTCTCTGATGTGGCAGGGCTGGATGGCATCGCTGTGAGCCTCAACACCACAGGCCGCAGTGCTCTGCGACAGAAAAACACATAAATTGTTACTAAATCAAAAACACACAACAGAACTACAGTGTATAAAATATGAAAATAAACTTTTATAAAATGGATGTTCCCCCCCTTTAGGATGCATGTCCCTGCTGCCCTACATGACATTTAAAAAAAGACTCCGTTAACAAATCAAAGATGACTTTTCCGTGACCCCTTTCTAGCAGACCTACCAAATGCAATTTTTATGCCCACAATATTTCACCTAGGCCTGTATGTCAAGGTACAAGAGAATACAGCCACCCATGTGCAGATGAGAAGTGTCGTGGGGGATTGCAGACAGAACCACAGGAAGATTTGTTTTTAAAAAAACACTTAAACATTTATTATTATAAATGTTTCTTGGGAGCTTGTTGAGCATATTTCTGAAATAACTGGAGGGTCATCAATTTTAAAATGAAAAATATAAAATTGCTATATATTTATTTATACTACCGGAGCTGTCACAGACGATCATTTTAACGTGGTTCCCAATTTTCTAGGTGTCCTCAGGGCAAAAAGAAAATAAAACAAAACCTTTCTATTTTAATCTGCCTCATGTGTAAAAGGCAGGTTTGAAAGTACAAAAAGACACAAGAAAGAGAAAAACTATTTGTAAAGAGAGTATGGATACCAGCTTAAGAAAGGTGTGTAACATGATTTAAAAAAAAAATTAAAATGTTCAATAGGAATAAGATAGTCTCATGGTTCATTTGCAGACTCTGGTTTCCCAAATACCTGATCTAGATCCTATCAGTTACCAGTCCTGTCAAGTTATGTAATATCTCTGCACTTTGGTTTCCTTATCTGTAAAATTGGGGTAATAATTATAATTGCTTTCTACTGCAGTGGATACCAGATGCCAGTCATTAGCATTAAAGAATCAAGAGAAAGAAACAGTAGTTTGTGTATTACTATAACTGTATTCTAGAAGTCAGTCATAGTCACATAAGGATTATTTGTTTTTCTGATAATTACTATAATTACCACTTTCATAATTCCTTGTAGGAATATAACTAGTATGACCTCTATGAATAGTAATTTGGCAAAATCTTATTAGATGAAAATGCACAACCATTTTGAACCCAATTTCATATCTAAGTTTTTATCCTACAGATATATGAAACAGGTACAAAATTTTATATACCTATACATCTATATCTATCATTGCGTGTGCACACACACACATACACACTCACTGCAGAACTATTAGGATTGATGAGCTAAATGTTCATCAGTGAGGGAACACTAAGATAAATTGATACATCCATGTAATGAAACAGAAACTACAGCAACCACCAAAAAGAACAAGGGAGTTCCATACATACTCCTATGGAACTATCTCTAAGATGTACTGTGTGAAAAAATGCAAGGTGTCCAACTGGGTGGTACTATGTTAACATTTATTTTTTAAAAAGCCTGAACATTATATACTCATTCAAACATAGACTATTTTTTGCAAGGGTATACCAAAAATCAGTAATAGTCCTTATCTCTGTGAGGCTAAGTGGGTGTCTAAAGGACTGGGATTAGAAGAGACATTTTTCACTGCATATCCTTTTGTACTTTTCAAATGTATTTTCCATGCCTTGTGCATACTTTTCCTATAACTAGTAAAAAAAAATTTTAAAAATTCCCATTAAATGAAAGCATCAGTTAATTATCCAAGCTGAACCTGAAATAAGATGTAAAATATAAAACAAAGCAGATCTTGATTATTTTTATTATTTTAACAAGATATGAAATAAGCCAAATAGGAACTTACTCTAGAGTATCTTTCTCAATTTCATTCCACAATACCCTAAATAACAGATCTGCTATGCCCACAACAACACAACTTGTTATCTTAACCCTTCACTTGGCACTCATATAAAAGTATACAGGATTTTTTTTTTTTTTTGAGTGCTTTCTCAGTTCTTATTCCAAATACTTTGTGTCAGTTGGAAATGAATTACCAGGTACCTGATAAGGGTAAAGGCTCTTCTCTGAGTCCATTTGGCCCCAAAAGATGAATATGACTAATAGAGACTCATTAATGGTTGAAGCATTTTATCCACTTGTGGAAATGAACACAAATATTTAGCTGGATCTAGAGTTAAGTTTTCCAGTGGAAACTCAAGTGGAAATACAAAAGAGAGACGTCAAGAGGGTCAATATCCTGCATATTACATTGGGTGGGAAGTTCCTCTATGGCGTTTCCTCTCTCTCTGCAACTTGGGTTTGTTTTTCATTTCTTTCCTCCATGGTCAATGTAAGATTCTACTCTTCCTTACTTTCCCAAATAAATTTGTTTTTTGTCAAAACCATAGAACATTTGGTCAAAATCTCTCAGAACCTCTGGCATGGCAATCAAATAGGATTTCAGAACACTGAAGGAAGCATAAGCTAGAAACTTATGGTGGAATCGGGATCTTTGCCAAAAAGATGAAGTTAACTTATATGGAAATACTCAATTTTGTGAAAAATGTTATTAGATTTTCTATTTTGCTAACTTCAGGTTTATGTGCTAGAATTAAGCAACTGCAAACAGCATACAGTTACCATATGCATTTCTATACTTTCTTGACTTGCCCACTGAGTTCTTTGGAAGGGAACCCTTAAATCTGAAATGATGTATTTCCAGTGTTGCTGCCACCTCAACCAATCTCTTCACACTTCTGTCAACATTCAGGCCTTCACCAAGGTACTTTTAAGCCATTCAAACTCAAAATTCATACCAAGTTGAGAATTTTTAATTTAGCAGTGACTCTAGCATTTTAAACAGAAGTTTCAATATAGCTTCCTTGGACCACAGCTGAGAGTTCAAACTGCTGAGAGATTTTATTCAGTATAAGCCAGCAAGGAAAAGCAGAGGCATGGTGCTCAAATCTAGGAATATGGAGGATTCCATAAGATATTTTACCTTCCAGAACGCAGCACCAGCTTTTGGATGAAGAGACATAAGTAAAGATGAACATAAGAACGTCAAAGAACACCAGATTGGTGTCAAAGGACCTAACATCTGAGGAAGAACTTTACGAGGCAGCCTGTACTTCACTCACGGAAATAAAGAGTCTATTTCGGCAGAGATTTCAGCACTCTTTGGACAACAGCACTCAGTATTTTGTCAAATATGTAGGTTTCATTTTTGAAAATTTAAAAATAAAGAGTATCCTAAAGTACAGGCACACTCAGAATGGGAAAGATGGTAAATAAAACTGTGGTCCGGGGAAGCTATACTGAAACTTCTGTCGCTGCTGAATCTCTTACAAATGTTCATACCTGTCCGGACTTTTTTTTTTTTTTAAATTGTTGGCAAGTTAAATTGTCCTATCCTTTCTCAGCCTTTCTCTTGCCAGTGAAATCCAAATTTAAGAAGGACCTAGAATATTGGATAATTGCCACTTATTCTTTCCACATAATGGTGGACTAGATCTTTTGTTAAACTCGAAACATTCGTTCTTACAGAGTAACACATACCTCAGATGAGAGCAAATGAAAGGCTAGTACTACTATTACTAATACTTTTATTACTCACTGACCACAAAGGTTGATACATAATCTGACTGGCAAGGCAAGTGTCTTCCTTCTACTTACTGCTGTACACATTGCTTTCCCAGAGTTTCCTTTTTTATGGAGAATGTCTTTTCAGATGAAGGTGGGCCATTCTTTGGCCAAAGGTTACACTATACAGTATAGTTAATTTTAGCAGTTAATTTTCTCATTTCAAAGTTTAACTGAGATGTTAATTGTTACAACTGTAGTTCTATATAACTAGAAAACTCTGTAACTCTTTTCTTTAAGGAAATTAAAACTAGAAAAAGTACTTCAGGTGAAGACAAGAGAATCACTAAATTTAAGGATTCATACATTAATAAATCTGGAAAGAATGCAAGATTTCTAAACTGTTCCAACCCCATCCCATGAGAAAATGAAGACAAAGGACTTGCCCAAGATTACAGTGACAATATTGGAATATGGCTATACATTAGATCTCTTGGCTTCTAGGACACATAGTTGATATATAGAGCCTTTATTATTTTATGTAGAATGAATTGTACTGTGTTACCACCATAGTGGAAGTTTCCAGGGAGTAAATAAAAACACAGCAAGAGTCTGTAGAAAGATGTGGATGAATAAATAAAGGAATAATAGCTTTAAAATGGAATGTTATTCTGATGTCACTGATTTTGAATTTACAAAAATTCAGATATGAACTAAGCTAATACTTACTTAGGAAATCTTTGCTATAAAACAACTTTAATGTAATAGTGTTCAACAAGATTAGGAGAGAAATGTTTAAATATTTAAGAGGAAAAATAACTCTTTATACGTCTTTGAGAATCCTTGAAATTTTTATGTATGTATGCATAACTGTATCAGGTTAATTACATACTTAGTAAGCAAGTCCACTGAAGAGGTCTTTTAGGTAACACTTTGTTACCCTAGTTTTACTTACTGAGTGAGCTGGAGCACTATAGCTAAAATTCTTTAAAACTACTTTACAGTACAGAAGTTCCTTATACTTCAAAATTCCCCTTAATAAATAAACACTGAGCTCTGTTGTTTTGTAAATGGAAGAGGAAACCAGATATGAGGCTAAAACTTAAATTTGCTTACTATCATTATAAAATTATACCTTGGCATGGCTCTGCTACTTGTCATGGCAAATGGTTCTTATTGAAGCAACTAAGTTTTAGATAATAGTATCACTTTAGACAAATTATTAAAAAACAAGAACATGAAAGTGATAGAGATTGATCAAAACCACGCAGAAACTGGAAAGGGGAATGCCTATATTTAGAAGAGAATGGCAGTGGCTTGAGTTTCCTGTTTTTACTCTTTTAGCAGACGGGCAGGCCCCAGTCAGGATAGGGGGCACATGACCTTAGAGACTCTAAGAAATATAGGCCAGAGTTCAGGGCACCCACAGTAGGTATAAAGTGAGGAAGGAAATACCAAGAAAGGACAAAATCAAAGAAGGAGAGCCCCAATTCACCATACAAACTTTACCCAAATCTATTTCTCTGTGGTACTGAATCCAAGAAACCCAGTTAAAGCTAAATGAACTGAGGAGAGATTCTAAGCTGCTGTCAATGAAGAGGAGTTTGGGTTTGATGTTTAGAGCTGAGTGCAGAATAGTAAACTGTCTGCTTAACACACATGGCCACATCCCAACAACTATTAACACCAACAGTTCTTCACAGAAATATAACAGAACACAAAATCTCTACCATATATTACCCATGATGTCCAAGATATAATTCAAAATTACTAGACATGCAACAATATAAAAAATTGACTGGGAAGAACTAACTGAGAGAGGAGGCATTATTTTGGTCTCCACTGAGCCTAACGAAGTCTCAAAGAAAGCATGACTTATACTCAATGGAGACTAAAATAATCCAGATATTAACTGATCAAAGAAGGATTTTTAAAGTAGCTATTATAACTATGCTCAAGAAGATCAAAGAAAATAAACCTGTAATAAGTGACAAAAAAACCAGACAAACAAAAACTAAAAAGAAATCAAATGGAAATTATGAAACTATAAAATAAAATATAACAAAGAAAAAATTATTGGATGGGTGTAACAGATTGGAACTGACAGAGGAGTCTGGAACATGAAGAAATATCAATAGAATTTATCCATCCTGAAGAACAGAGAGAAAAGACTGAAAGAGAAATTAAATAAGTACCTGTGGAACAACATCAAAGTAACTAACAAATATGCCTTGGAGTCTTTGAAGTGGAGGAGAGACAGTGAATGAAGCAGAAAAAATATCTGAGGACGTAATTGCTGAAAATTTCCCCCAAAAGACATAAACCAATATTTAAGAACCTCAATGAACCCTAAGCAGGACAAATACAAAGAAAGCCATGTCTGTGGACAGCATGGTCAAACTGCTGAAAACCAAAAATAAAGATAAAATCCTGAAAACACCCAGAGAAAAATAACACATTACAAACACAGAAACAGTAATACAAACTCCTGACATATGATTAAAACAATGGATGCCAGAAAACAGGGGAGTGATATCATTAAAGTACTGAAACAAAACTACTAACTCAGAATTCTATATCCAGTGAACATATCTTCTAAAAATAAAAGAAAGGATATTTTCAGAAATATGAAAACTAGGAGAAACCATCACCAGCCAACATGCACTGTAACAAATGCTAAAACAAAATTTAGTAGAGCAAAATAGGAAAGTAATACCAGAAGGAAGTCTGAGCATAAAAAAGAGAGACACAGAAAGAGAGAGAGAGAGAGAGAGAGAGAGAGAGAGAGAGAGAAATGAACAACAGTGGGGATGGTAAATGTTAGTTTATTTTTTCTCTTTTTTTCATTGAGATACATTTGCTTGTTTAAGGCATAAGTAGTATTATGGTTTATAACATGTGAAGATATAAGATGTATAACAACTATAGCATAAAGGAAGGGTAAGAGTAAAGTACACCAGTCTTATAAGAGTCTCACATTTTATGTAAGTAGTGCAATAACTCCAAGTACGCTGAAAATTTAAGGATATGTTGTAATCCTTAGCATAGCCACTGAAAAAATGATGCAAAGAGGTATCACTAAGAAATGAGTAGATGAATTAAAATGAATTTCTTAAAGAGTACACAACCCAAAATAAGACAAGAAAAACTGAGAATCAAAAATAGAACAAGCAGAAAACAAATAGCAAAATAGTTGAACTATATCTAACCATGTCAATAAATACAATAAATTTCAAGGAAATGCAAACTCAAAGTATAACGAGTCACTGTTGAATATCCATTAGAATGGTTAAAAATAAAAACAATAACAGCAAGAGCTGATGAACATGTGAAGCAACTGGAACTCTCACATACTGCAGGTGGAAGTATAAAATGATACAAACATTTTTTTGGGGGAAAAAAAGTCTTGGAGTTTCTTTAAAAACTAAACACATATATATTCTGTGACTCAGTAATTTCATTCCTAGCTATTTACCTAAGAGAAATGAAAGGCATTTGCCCATGAAGACTTGTATAATAATGCTCACAACAGGTTTACTCATAATACCTCAAAAACTGGAAACAGCCTGGGTGTCCACAAAATGAGAATAAATACACTGATATATTCATACAACAGCACATTACTCAGCAGTAAAGAGGAATAAATTACACTTATACTGAAAAACAAATTTCAAAAACATCCTGAGTGAAAGAAATTTCACTCAAAAGAGCATACGTACTACATTTTCTTTATATGATTTCCAGGACAGAAAAAAACTAATCTATGATGAAAAAATCAGGACAATGATTGCCTCTCTGTGGTGGCAGGAAATGACTGGGAAGAGGCATGCAGCAACACTGTGAACTGATGATAATGTTTTATATCTTGAGAAGTGTTTAGAAAACATCAGGTTTATACCTCTGTCAATACACATCAAACGGTATATTTAACAACTGAATGGTTTACTGTGTATAAATTTTAGCTTAAAAAAAAGAACCATAAACAAATTATACATAATGAAGTATTAAGCCAAGAAGTGTACTAATATCTGTAGCTTACTTTGTAGTGCAGCAAAAAAAAAAAAAAGATGGACTGACAGATGGACAAAAGAATAATTAGATGCATTGATATAATAAATGTAAATACATAAGTATGTAGATAATACAGCAAACATAGTATAATGTTCATTGTAGAATCCAGATGGCAGATGCATGGCGTTAAGTCTATAATTCTCTTAATATTTTTGTATGTTTGAAAATTTTTATAATAAAACGTTAGAAAAAAATCAATATCTTGCTTTATCCAGAAGAAAGCTATTAAAAAAGTTTGAGTAGAAGTCATTAAGTATGGTTAAGCATAAATTGGCTGTTTCTAAAAATTTGAATTATGAGAAAAACAGAGCACGTTTTCCATATCTCTGAAGCAAACTCAACAACTTTATCCCCTCTGCACTGGAGAAAAGAAAAACAAAACAAAACAAAAAAACTTATCACTGACCTTTTTTCTTTTCCTTTGCTTGGTTTTAGCTGAGTCTTGTCCAGCACTCCCATTCCCTAGGGATCCTGATGTGGTTTTCCCTGAGTGCTGTGATCCAGATGATGGAGCAGTGGGTGTAGGAGGAGGTGTGTTCTCAGGGGACTCTGGGTAGGACTTCATGCAAGACCCCTGCCCAAAGAGATGCGCCTTTGAAATCAAGTGACCAGGACTTCTAACATTCATTTGTGTTTAATATCTCCTGAATTCAATACTTCTTGAAGCTTACAAATATCAAAACACGATTTATTATCCAGTTCACAGAAATGATGCCTCATTTGTCCCTATTGGTCTAAATATGTTAATTTTTAATCTGTCTAGCCATTTAGATAAAATCAGGATTTCTCAAGACGCAGCCTCCAAAATTTCTGCTGATTTTGCCAGATACAGAGATCTCTACTTGCAAGTTTTGTTAGCATGTCAGACTTACATGTCTCAAAAGGCACCTCTGAATCCACCCCCCCGCCCCAAACTGGATGGTACAGACAGTATTTGTTATCAGTATGTCCAGCCTTCTACCAGTGACTCCAACTCAGTGTCTGAGGGTCACTGTGGATATTTCCGGCTCCTTTTATTTCTAGTTCCTTCCTTCTTTCATAATATCCCTCATTTCGACCTGGTTTCTTCGGCTACGACTGCAAGTCTGTTTTCTTTCATGTGGATGCACTTCAAATATTTGAGGACTATTACCTTTCTCAGCTTCTTTTCTTTTATAGGTCAAACTGCCTCAAATTCCTTCAACCATTTATTATGAGACAGGTTTTCAGGTTCCTTCACCCTCTCACTACTCTCCTTTAGACATTCTCTACTGTGTCAAGGTCCATCCTCTAGGATGGTGCCTCAACACTAAACGAGACAAAAAAAGTTTTCTTATCAGTGACATCACAATATTGGCTCCTAAGGAATTTACAGGCCAATAAAAGTCTATAAGTCTTTTTCATATATGGTATTATTAATCTACATCTTCCTTATCCTACCAACTATACTAAACCATACTACCTGCTGGCCTACACTTCTCTATAGTGTATTTGTATTCAAAAAACTACACTAAATTTTGTAAAGTGTTTGGCTGAAATGCACATATTGGTTTCAAAAGTATATCTGTCTATTGTTCTGAGAACTGTATTATTTATTTAAAGTTAAAAATGAGCAAGTTTAAAGGGAAGCTAGTAAAGAATATACTGGAACTCCGTATTATCTTTGCAATAGGCTCTGTAAATCTAAAAATTATTCTAAAATAAAAAGATTTTTAAAGAAAAAAAAAGTATTTCTTTGATTTGCCTGCCTAGGAACCTTATCAAACAAGAAGGAATAAGCCTAATTTGGCATGAGTTATTTTTAGAAAAAACAAGACAATTCCTAGAGATCACTGCTTCCTGTGCATAAACCATATATTAGAAAAAAAATTTTAAAAATTAACTTCAATTGGGGTGCCTTGGTGGCATAGTCGGTTAAGCATCCAACTCTTGGTTTTGGCTCAGATACCTGGGATCGAGCCCCACACTGGGCTCCATGCCTAGTGTGGAGTCTGCTTGGGATTCTCTCTTTCCCTTTCCCTCCACCCCCCCCACCCCGTGCTCTCACTCTCTCTCTCAAATAAATAAATAAATCTTTAACAAAAATTAACTTCAATTAATATTACACCTGCCAATCTGAGAACACAAGCTTAACTAGCTTGGTTCCTCATATGTTTAACACTCAAAAATGATAGTCATTAAAAGAGAATGTATTGTGTATTAACAGCATGCCTTGAGAGCTTCTGATTCCAATCCACTGTACATAGCACCTCCCTTTGGATCTTCTAAAACACCCATTTGAACTCATTACCTTTAGCAGCCACGAAACCTTCAACTCTTCCTTAACTCTAAGAGCCTAAGGCTCAATTTTCTAACCTGATTCCTCCTTCTGCTCCTCAATGAATCCTTTGCTTGAATATTTTAATCAGAGTTTTGTTTCTCCCTTGTACAGTTATGCCTATGCCGCCTCTGAGGCCTAGAGCATTCTCCCCACTTTTACTATCTCATCAAAGTCCTATCTTCCCTCAATGCCAGTGTCCTCTCTCAAGTTCTTTGCATTCGGGGCTTGTTTTTACCTCTGCACTTCCGGTCTATGCCACTCATTTGGAAATTAGCATATATGCTATCTTGAATTGTCTTTTTTGTTTGTTCTTTATTTCCTTGTTTGTTTTACAGAAAGTCCTATCTCCCTGAATACAGATCATACCAGTCTTCGGAGTCCCCCTTTTGTACCCAATTTGGTAAAGCCCTCAAAGCAGGCCCTTGACGTTGGTTGCTGGTTTGTAATGTTGATGAGTAAGATTCCTACTTTAGAGTGGCCATTCTCTGTGTTTCGTCAGGTAATAAAGGGCAGGAAGATTTCCAGTCTCTCTGAATGTTCATTTTGACCACTAGTTACAGGAGGAGGGGTGTCTGGAAGGCCAGGGAAACGCTTGAGGCTTTGCTAACATATTTAGGCGGGATGCTTTCCGACACTCCTGCTCCCGCCTCCCAGAGAGCCCGGGAAACCCAGCACACACAGGCCATTTTTCTTAACTGCTGGGTAGCTGGGAGCAGCAGCTGTGGTTGCTGAGCAGTTGCCCAGGGCAGCTTGGCCACCCTGGAGAACCAAGAGAGAAGGGAAATAAAGAGTTTTCCTAGCCATGCAAGCAATCCCTTGAATGTTAAGGGAAAACTAGGCTTGTTATGTTCACTGTAAATTTCTTCAATTAGAAATGTTACAACAAATTTGTCTGATGTTAATGAAAAGCATACTTATACACATATTCATAAAGTGAACATGTACCAAAGATATCTTTAAAGGGTGTTCTTTGACATCGTAATTTGGGTTTGTAACATAAAGAAAACAAAGTGTTTAATCAACTGGGTAAGCTTTAGGGACTTTTAAAGTGTGATGACTGATAATGATGTATGATCTTTTCTAAGAAAAAAATGGATTTTTAACGGGCATAAACATTTTAATTTCTACTTGGATTCCAAGCCAATCTGATTCTCCAAGGGGCACAAAAAGATGTCAAACTTTTGGCTTGAAATAAAATATATTGGTTTATATCTTTATGTAGTTTCCAAGTATCCTAGAGCAGACGTACTTAAACTTGGGGTCCATCACAGATCACTTAGATCCATAGAATGATTTCAGAGGGTCTCTGAACACCCTGAAATTGTATGCAAAATTTGTGAATGTGCTTATGGAGACAGAAATTATAGTTTTTGTCAGATTCTCGAAGGGGCTTAGACATTTTCAGGTTATACATTTCACCCAGCTTTGTCCAAAGCTCACTTCATAATTACACATGGAGATGTTAAGCCAACCTCCTTGCTGCCTTCTCTCTGGTTATTAGATTGAATTACATGAAATTGCTGTATATGCCAGGAAAAAGGGTCAAATATCAGCAAATGCATTCAATAGATGATACTACATTTCTAGTTTGTAAGCACATGACGCTCACAGAGAGTCTTTCTTACACTACAACACGGTACACAGTTATTGCACAATGCCTTAAAGTTGGCAAGACCACTTCATCGCCCCCCTAGGTGGAGGTCTCGGCAACATAAACTCGATCAGAAAGGATGTGATCCTCACATGATAGGGCCAGTGTGGACACGGAGAATAAATGGAGCCATGCTCCTTTAAATCATGTTTAGAGATGGGTCAATAATTGGGAAATAAAATGATTAATAAATGTCAGGAGTTATTAGGACATGAATAATAATGATTCTCTTGTCTTTGAGGCACAAAGAAATAAAGAACTATTCTCAACATTGTTCATTTGCCCAAATCAGTTGTTCACCTCCCATGGAAATGAGGTGTGCTCTCCAACTATTCCTCTTTCACTGGAGGGCTAGGGAAGCTAAATAAGGTCAGAAATAGGTGAAAAGACAATTGTATTAAGTGGATGATTAAGGCCTACAACAGTCCGTGCTCAGTGGATGTTTGTTTGAATGTTGAATATGTTAAGATTCCTGATTGAAGGCTATACATTCCTACATTACCTTTTTCAAAGAACTAGTAATGTAAACACCAGACACATGAAAAGTCCACAGAGGTGTCAAAGACAGATTTTTTGCTACTTACCTCAGCAGAGTTGTGATACTGAATGAAGGTTGCAGAAATGGCATGGCTGAAGGGGTCTCCCGCCTTGGTTACCATGTCCTGCCTCACAAGAAGAGCCAGGTCCACTAACTAGAAGATCAGAGTAATGAAAATAAAGTCACATAGCTGGAAATAATCAGTCACCAATGTCACCGAAGTGGCAAAACTAAAAGCAATACATTCCACCTGTTATTGATAACACGGTCTGCTTAAAAATCTGTATTGTGGACGTGAGCAGATGCTTTCATTGATAAGTAGACCTACCCATGAGTATAAACAATATATTCTGACTTTCCAGGGGAGCACTTCTCAAATTTTATTTAATAATCACTAGGGAAGTATTTTAAAATACAGATTTCTGTGCTCTGGACACCAAGATTCTAATTCGGTATGTATGCTCTGGGTTACATTTCAACAAGAAGCAAGGAGAAGCTGATGCTTGTGGTCAGAGGACCATGCTTTGAGAAGCTGTCAGAGAGCAGTCATTCTAGACTCAGGTTTTGGCAAGCACTCAGGAGACTGTACATAGCCAGAAAGATATGTTTCAAAGCTCAAAAATAATCTCTAAACAGGGCAGATGTGTACTGAGAATTCAATGTTGAGAAAAAGTATGTAGGGATTCCATTTCTGGTTAGGATTGAGTTGCAAGCAACAGTCACTTTTACCCTAACATCTGCCAGGGCTGAGGATACAAAGAAACATAATTGAACTGAATTCCAGAAAATGATAAGATTGTCATAGGATAAAACTCATGGCTGTTCTCATTCCTGGTAGAGTAGCAGGTGGAGGAACTTTGGTCATGGACAGAGGTAAGAAGAAAGGGATGCCTGGGTTGGCTCAGTGGGTTAAAGCGTCTGCCTTTGGTTTAGGTCATGATCCCAGGGTCCTGGGATAGAGTCCCTCATCGGGCTCCCTGCTCAGCGGGGAGACTGCTTCTCCCTCTGCCTGCCACTCCCCTGGTTTGTGCTCCCTCTCCCCTTCTCTGATAAATAAAATCTTAAAAAAAAAAAAAAGAAGAAGAAAGCAATCCTGTAAGGCCTGCTATGACAGATATTAGCATTCTTACCTGTGCCACTGTTTCATATGCTAGATATGCTAAAATTTCCATTGCAACAACATTGGGTTTTATCTCCATACTGCTGCAGTCCAACCAGTCTCGAAATTTGGAGGCCTTTTTGGCTAGGCATCAAAAAAAATATGGAAAATTTAGTTTTTGAAGTGTTTTAATACTTGCATATTGCTATCACAAAATGAAAAATATGTCTCTTGAAAATTGCATTTGAAAAATAATGCATATAAAACACCATGTTTTTGAAGTTTTATTAGTGTCAAGATCTTCAAGCCCCAAGAAATGCCTTATGCATTTGGGTCTTTGATTTTGTACCCGTGCTACATAACACGGTATACTAAATGACTTAATATTCAGCATTTCTCACAGTGTCAGAATAAGTTACCATTGGCCATAGCTTATGTTTTAACAAAAGTCAGAGGGGTTCCTTGATGCAACTTTAACCATTCTTGTGGAAAGAAATTCCTGCAAGAAAGAACCTGGGATGGAGAAAGAACATACAGAAATTGTATTTGCGATACATTTCCAAATGTGTCTATTACCAGAATAGGTTCAAAGTCACATATTTAGAATACAGTAGAAAAAACTTAGGCCTGCAGTTACGTTTTTCTGACTACAAAGACGTCCGAATTCCTAAGCCTGACTCTCAAAACCCTCCAAACTGATTTCAACCTGTCTTTCTATGATTGCCTCCTGAAATGCCACCTGGCCTTGAGTCTAGCCCTCTCTTTGTTCACCCTGCTCCTTTCCCTCCATGGAATGCCACCCCACCTCTCTTCCTCCTTCACCTGAATCCCGCCTGTACTGTGTAGTTCCCCACACTACTCATTTACTGAACTCTTGTATCATCAGATGTCCTTTCATGTCTGCTTATAATTTCTCAAACCATATTAGAAACACCATGCATCATGTCTCTCTGCATACCTAACAGTACCAAGCGCACGTGGAAACTTCCGGTTCAAATCTCCAAAATGCCACAATGCTAAGCAGAGTCTAACCTGATGTAGAGCCTTTATTAGATATTACTAATCTAACTAGTAATCTACAGGGAGGAGATTGATGGTAAAGATTTTATCATATCTATAACATAGCAATCTTGTAAAAAAATCCACTGATTATTCTTTTGGTTAATCTGGTCCCATGGGTCTATTAAAACACTTAACAGTCACTCAAAGCATGATGTTTCTATCCTTATAGATGTGGTCTTCATGGATTCCAAGTACAGAAGAGGTTTTTTTTTTCCCCCCAATAAATCACAGAAGACTTGAAGTCTTGCTATGGAAGTGCATGTCCAAAGCTGTCAACTGTGGCAGAATTATGATAATCCTCTTAAAGCTATCTCCCTAAAGTAACCAATCTTCCACATACTCTCTGACATGCAACATTCCATCTAACTAGTCAGCTGCATTAGCTCACAAACACTTGTTTAACATCTGTGGAATACTTCTGAAGTCAAAGTTAACAGGCGGCAATTTGGCAAGATCAATAAAACGTACCTTGTTCACTTCTCCCCCTGACAGTCTGTTAAGAACGCAGAAACAAGGTATTTTGTGACTATGCTCTAAACGATTTGTTTTAAAAGAGAGGGAAAGGATAGATGGTTCTTAGTATTCCGTAGGATCTGTCCACCTAAGCAACAGAATTGGTGGCTTTCTCACTAGATGTTAAGTACTAAGAATGCAGGGATGAGGACCCTGTGTCCACTACTGTATCCCCAGCACCTAGAATACTTCCTGGCATCAGCAGTCTCACAATAAATATTTCCAGAAAAAAAAATGAATGAATGGACAAATGGAAGATACTTCTTTAATAAAAGGGTAGGGTCTCTGTTCTGTAGCAGAAAAGGCGCACAGAGGGTCCCATAAAACCACTGTGAGTTACTGCTCTTCCAGCAACAGGTGAACATTCCCTGAGATAATGCCCTGTCCCCTGCAGAAGGACTGCTTCAGAGACAGACCTTCCCATGGTATTGCTGGTTCCAGCAAAAGAGGCACAGATACTCCTAGTCATGACAGTTTGTTTCTATTTGGCGGGGGGTGAGTGACTGTTAAGTCCTTCACCTTTACCGCTCTTCTCAATATATCAGGAGAAAGGATAATTGTGGACATCGATCAACAATTTAAACAGAATCCTTAACAAAGGTCAGAAGTTCGCAAGATTATCAGCCTTCTGACACTATCTGGTTTTTTTAGCTTGTGCTGGAATTAAAACAACTTTTTATAATAACTTCATATGGGAAATTTAAGGTTAGTTAATCCTCATACAAGTCTTTTTTTCTTTCTCATTACTGACCGCTAGTAAAATCTAAGTTTCTCTCAATACCCCATTCTCACATCCCTGCATACTATCTCACTATTTCTACCTCATCCCTCTCACCAGGCTTTCCATTCCCCTTTCCTTAGGGCCCTTCTGTAATGCTCATTCCTCTCTGAAGAAATTCTTCCGCAACTTCAGTCTCTTCCAAATGACTGCTATTTGGATTAATTGCAAATAGCCTTTCTCAGAGGGCACGCTTTCCCTGGAGTCTTTTATAGTAGAGGTTCCTTATTTCTTTCCTTCTGTACATATTTATTGATCAGTCATTGACTGCCAACCTGTTCATTTCCCCATACACCAGAGGGGTGGGGGGTCACGTCTTCATTCTCTTAGTTTCTCCCACAGGGAAAATACAGGACAAGTGGACAGAGACTTCTTACCAACAACAGAGGCTAAAAAAAAAAAAAATGGGATCCTGTTTTAATAAATAACTACTAGCCCACAACTTCCTACCCAACTAAACTACCATTTAAGTATGAGGGCAAAATAAAGCATTTTTAAGACAAAAATGAGTGCTTTAAGCACTTACAGAGCCTTGGGAAAAACAAAATTAGGCTGACAAGGCATGTTTACTAATTACCAACTTTAAAAAATTTAAGTCAAGGACGCATTGTAAAAAATTAAGGATAGCAACTAAAATAATAGAACTAGAATATACACTATACAAACTGGTTGAGAAAAAATGGAATGAAGAAAATCCAATTAATCCAACAAAATGATGAAAAGGAGGAGGAAAAGCAAATAAAAAAGGCACAGTAAATTTAAAACACAAAGACAGCACATATAAACCCAATGTATAAGTAATTAAACACACACAAACTAAATTTATCAATTAAAATACAAAAAGACTCTCAGATTTGACTAAAAAGAAAATCTATATATTTGTTTACAAAATCCACATACAAAACAAAAGGCTGAAAGAAAAGGCTTGGAAAATGATTTGCCAATTTATAACTAAATTTAATCTTTGTGAATTAATATGAATATCAGATTTTAAAAGACTTTCAGGGAAATGATTATCTAACTTACATAAATATAAAAACAAAAGACTGGTGAATTTGATCCCAATTCTACAACTTACCTTCAGTCTACAAAGTCATAGACTTGTAACTTTTAAAATGCACCAGTAGTCCCAATCAGTGAATGCTATGATCCAATATTTAAGAAGATACAAACAGCTGGATCGCAATTCCTATATCCTCGTAATTTATCAGAAGGGGAGAAATGAAAAGAGCCTAACATTCCGACCAGTTGTGGGTATTAGTTCTGAATTTGCGGACCCACTTGGATTAAGCATTCCCAACCACAGTGTTTTGGCATATAAAACAGATTCTTCCACTAGGGTTTCATAATGAAGCACCTATGGGCATCATACAAAGAAATATTTTTAAATGCCCAAATTCCTTTTCTTTTTAAAAAAAGTAAGCATAATATACTGTTTAAACTATAATTATTTTATATAGAAAGGGAAAGCATTAATTTGTAATTTACTGTACTTTATTACTGAGTTATAAACAAAAAACTGAGTTGTTAAAAATGTGATTTTCAAACACAAGATGTATTAGGACCCTTCAGTAGCTATACATTTTAGCGTGAAAATAGCGCTTCTGTTCCTTTAAGTGAATTAAATTCAAAATATGATTTTAAAAAATAGTTCAATAGCACTAAATGTTACTTTATAAACTGGAGATTTATACTTATAAAAGACTTGAATGCCATTTTTAAACCTAAAAATTACAATACAAAAACCTCTCATTTGCTGAAATTGCCATGATCTGAAGTGTCATTTACTTAATGCTTCACAGATGTACGATGCCAAATTGTTAGTCAGACTGCAAAGTATATTTAGTTAGGAAAAAAAGCTTCCAAAACATGTTTTCCTATATTTTACTGACATTTACATGGGGCACTATGTGAAATGTGTCATTTATTTGCACTTTATGATCTATAAATGAAGCTCTCATTTTCTGTTTTCAAATCAAATACATTGTTATTATGGCCACAGAACAGTTTTTCCGTTTAAAGACACCATTGTGTCTATAATCCCTCAGACCAGGGTCATGTGCTTCTCTTGTCAGATTTTTAACTGGACTTTTCATCACACTTACTCTTTGACCTTTCCCCTGAGAGGCTTAGTCATCACTGAACTGTTGCGGTAAGGATGTTTGCTACACAATTGAGCCCACTATTTATCATGAGCCTTTATGTACTTTTAGTAAGCCTGTGTGCAATGATGGGACGGTACTAATTTTATCACTAGGTTATTAGTGTTACAAGAGCACAGATTGATGAATTTGGCTAACACTGAATGCTTGTCACAGTAAGAGGTTACAGACAAAAATGGAAGAGACTATTGATACGTTTCCTTGTGGTAATATGAGTAGGCATAAATAAATGGAAAGCTTGGTATTTGTTAATATTGGGGGCTTTTAAATGTCATGACTGTGCTACTAGAGTCCATTACAGGTCAAGTACAATCAGCAATACTAGTGTTAGTAGGATGAAGAAACTGGAAAATAAAATGAGAATGTTAAAGAAAATGGAATTTTTTGGACTAAAAGTATGTGAATAATTAACATGGTTCTCTGTGTCTTACTAGCACCCTTTAAAACCTCTTTAGACTATTAATTACAAAATGGTAGAGTGGGGTAAAATCTTTTATAGAGTCCCCTACAATGCAGGGGCTGTTTCTAAGTTATAACTATGCATATGTTAAATTCACCCATTTCTAAGGAATGGAGATTGTGTCATACTTTCGTATATCTATAACACATGATCCCTTAAACATATAATGAAGCAAAATTAAACATTTACTTACAGAAACTTAATTGTCGACTTTCACAGAATTCTGCATATTGGGCTGAATCCATAATTCGAGTTTGTCTTTCTGCTCTCTGACAGATAAAAAGACACACAAACAATGTTTCAGAGCAAGGAGACCATTATCTATGTCTTCCTCTTGGCTAAAATGCAGAATTGAAATTCCATTTTCCTTCCCTGACTTTAAGTAAACAGTTTCGTACTACCATAAATATCATGAAACTTGAAATTATGATAAGTAACAGTAGTTTTGCAACTTGTGTCTTTTGGAAGCGAAGTTTAAAATGCCATTTTCTTCTCCTCTGTTATTGTCACTATACTGACAAAGCTAAAGGATCTTACTTCTTAGATTGTGTACTAAATTTTCTTAATTGTACCATCCTTTTAAAGAAAAACTGTGAGTGGGTAATAACAAATCAAACAGAAAAAACTGCTAATCGTTATTGACCATGTACTGCCCTAAAGCTGGGGATTTTCAATGTTAAAATCGGAGTCAATGAATGGACCCCATATATTTTCCCTCCGTTAGAACATGGAGCCAGAGCTAACAAATCCATATTTTAAATTGCAAAGAAAATAAAGAAAAAGGTAAACACAACACAAAACCTTTCATCTGAGTCCAGGTATGATTCACAGTTTGGTATAGTTTCATTCGTGGGTTTTTGATTCAGTATAGCAGATGTTTGCTGCTTCATTGTCCCACAAGAGGTAGGATAATTATAATTCACCCATAGTTCGGTGGGAAAGAATATGACCACTTCCGCTTCCTTGGCAAGGGAAGCATTTTGAAATGAGACAGGATGGTACTTCTTGGAATGAGATTCTGGCCAGTAAAGGAAAAAATTCCCTGAGACGTTAATTTTTTTTCTGCTTTGAAGGACTTCTGGGAAGTTTTCTTTATCACAGTTGGAGTACACAAGTACCACTAACGTCTGGATGTTTTTATATTTTTTTAAACTGAAATTATCCTTTCTTCATCTTGTTTGATTTGGGTAGTAGTCAACTTAATTCTGATGATATATCTGTTGATGGGATGAATAATGGTATACTAACTGCTGCTCGATACAGGAAAGATAGATGGGGTGGTGGGAGTTATACTAACTCCTGTGGTTCCTTCTAAGACCATTGACTATTTTTACCCTTGCTTCTCTTCTTCTACTCCATCCCTCCCTTCTTTCCTTCCTAATCTCCCCCTCACCCCATACATACAAACATGCATATGTGCAGACATAAACCCAGACTTCTTCATTCACCCTCTAGGTTCAAGAATCCTTTTTGAACATGTATTACATATGTACATTACATAACAGACACACACACACATACATACGTGTGCATAAGGATCCTCTTGTGCATATATCTGAAACATTAGGTTTCCTTAAGGGTATATTATTGGGTGAATATTTATATACTTAGAAATATTTTTTTTAAAAGATTTATTTATTTATTTTAGGGGGGAGGGGCAGAGGGAGAGGGAGAGAGAATCCCAAGCAGACTCCCCGCTGAGCGTGGAGCCTGACGTGGGGCTCCATCTCAGAACCCTGAGATCATGACCTGAGCCGAAACCAAGAGTCAGATGCTTAACTGACTGCACCACCCAGGCGCCCCTACTTAGAAGTATTTTTTGATACATGAATGCATTATTTAGTCTTGTCCTTCTTTTTAGTGTATCTGATACATGACTCTGTAAGTATATGCTAATGGACAGGAGGAAGTAAGGGAGAATTCTGAACATAACAAATCAGTTACTGATGTGTTTATTAAAAAAAAGTTCTAAGGCTAACAATGTATCATTAATGTCTGTCTTTGACTATATAAAAGGAATCTCAGATTTATTTTCTAGCTCCTAGAGAATTTCTGACACATAAAACATGAACAGTGAAACCTCCATGGATTGAACAAATGCTACCATTTTAGTCTACAATCATGGCAAATGACCATCATCACCATGATGTGGCTAGTCCTTGATTATCCATGCATTCCTATAAGTCTTCTCTGCTGCTCTCCAGCCAGGCAGCCTCACCCCACCCAACACACGCGAAACAGAAAGGACTTCGATAAATATGGAAAACGAAAATTCCTAATGGGATCCTTAACACTAATTTTTCTTCCACCATGTTGGACAACTGAGATTTGGTCTCTGTATACATGCTTACATAGTCGATGTATCTGAATAAGTATGTCTGGAAATGAAAGTTAGGAAAACCTATCCTAGGAGATTCAGGCTGCCAGGGTTGCCAGTTTTAATCAAGCAAGGCGTTTAGCTAGATGGGAAATCCTGAACCACATTTAAAAGACACGGAATGACTTTAAATTATTATAGCTAGCTTCATTCCTTTCAGACACCTAATTCAATGTCTATCATCTTTTCTTCATCAAGCACCGTAGTCTGGTTTCAATTCCTCTAGCATCGAAGCAGTGGAGTCTCATGAAGCTGGCCCTAGGGCCCGTGCAGGAAGCCACTGACCAAGTGTCCATACAGCAAATGCTCCGGGAAGAGTAGCTGACGTAACAGCAAAGATGCACAAGCATCTATAAAACCACGGCATGTTGGGGCACCCAGGTGGCTCCATCAGTTGAGCGTCTGGCTCTCAGGGTTGTGAGATCGATCGATTCCTGCGTCGGGCTCTGTGCTGAGTGTGGAGCCTACTTAAGATTCTCTCTCTCTCTCCCTCTGCCCCTCCCACTGCGTGTGCATGTGCATGCTCGCTCTAAAAAAATAAAAAAATAAAAATAAAAACCACAGCCTATCAGAACTAGAGGGAGACTTAAAGCTCATCTTGTTCAAACCCCCTTATTTTAAAGATAAGGAAACTGAGGTTCAGAGAGAAGTGATTTGCTAAAGGTGATCAAGTTAGCACTGAAGGCCAGGACTCTCAATTCCCAAGCCAGCCTATTTTCATTATGAGAAGCTGTCTTCGACCTACAGTAATGTTTTATATTTTTCTTTGGAATCCTCTAAAGTCTCTACATTCCCTTACTAAACTGTATCACATGGCCACCATAATTAACGTGCTCAAAGTGTTCATGACCAAACAAAATTAAGTAAGGCCCTGGGTCAGCAAAGAAGGCACAACCTGGGGATAATTAAGTGCAGAGTGTTCCAACTGTAATGTACCTGACAGTGCACAGGTGTGCTGCAAACACATCACAGGTGTGCAAACATACTGTCCCCCCGAACCCCCACCACTCCCACCCTACCCGACCTTTTCAATGCTGCACAAGGTTGGGGCAGCAGAATCCCAGGGCTGGTATCTTGCTATAAGTTGCCTTGTCCATTTATCTCAGTGTGGCATAAAAATACCATTTTCTATATGTGCCATGACATGAAAGAGGTTGGGAAGCAGTTGTACTAATACCAATGTCCTTAATATTACATGACACAGCACATGCGTGCTATTCACAGCAGGGTCAAGTGCGCTCAAAATGAAATCAGAGACACTGACTGGCAGTCAAGGATGCTGAGGATGATACAGATATGCTCATCATGCTAATTTCTGTTTACTTCTCTTTTTTCTCCATGAATTATTTCAAATAACCAAAGGAAAGGGCCAAATGTGGCCTTGTGAAAGGATCCAAATCACTCAGCATCTGATTATATTATCTCCAGTCTGTACACTATCACCTTAAAATGGGAAAGGCAGGAAATATCCAACCGTTACAGGCTATGTGTTCTTTAAAGACAGTAACTGTGTTTTCCTTCTCTCATCTCAGCATTGGCCAATGCTTAGCTTGGTTTACCCGGGCCCCAGTAAACGTTGCTGGCTAGCTGAATGGGCAGAGGGCGAAAGAAATGCGTATAAATCCTTGTTGTCTTATCTAAAATCAGGAACTGTTATATTTGTAATCAAGTTGTCCAAATTCCAGAGACAGTAGGCAGCTTTTTAAAGATAAAGTCCCATTAAAAAGAAGTCAAGACACTGGCCAACTATCAAATAAGCTTGGTTCCTATTTTCTGTGTTGTCCTGATTCCACTTTCCCTTCTGCCTCGATTCAGACCACCCATTCCAATCCACACTGAAGTGCGCACTGACAGTCCTTTTCTATTCCCAGTACTGTAGGAAATCTCTGGACAAGATGCAAGGGGGAAAATCATAAGCCTCGCAGAGCAGCATGGTCAGAGTGACAATGCTTATCTATTCTTTCCAGAGAGCAACACAATAACCTTTAACATAAACAGTTTTAACAGCTCCATTTTACAGTTGAGGACACTGAGATTTAAAAGAAGTAAAAAAATGTTTTAAAAAACATGTAGTTAATAAAGCGGCCAAACTAATAAGTAAAACTTGGATCCTAAATGATCTACTCTGAGGTATATCACTGATTAATCATGGCAGGTTAAATCATAGCTTCATTCATACTGGATATTCTCAAATTACACAATGTTCTCCTGATCTCAGACTGCCACATGAATGAAAGGTCATCTCTGGATTAGTCATGCTTTTGTATCTGCAAGTCCAATTTGTTTTCTGCTTAATCTGTCGATTCTGCCCACTCTTTGGTTTCTTTAGGTATTAACACTGCTCTTGAAAACTCATAAAAATATGGTCCATACTCAGAGGCTTTTTAAAAAATTAAACTGTACTAGTATTATGATATAGCAAAGTATTACCATATAGGGGTGTACATGGAAAAATCACTTTTGGAAGAATTATTCCTAAGATTTTCCAAGCACCTAACAATATTTCAAAATTTCATTGGAATGGCTTGTTAAAAAGGTAAGGGAGAATAGTTATGCTAATAGTCCTTCATCTCATTACCAAGAAGTTACAGCTTTCTCTGGTTATTGTAAAACAAACTCAGAAGGCAGAATTCCATGCCAGATGAACTCATTTTTTTGGGTCCTACCTAAATGAAAACAGGGAAGGAAATGTCCCGACAGATGCAGTACCTAGTATAATTCGTTTGTTTGTTCGGTACCTTGAACACAAGAGACTCTTAGTATAGATTTGTTAATTTAAATGTTCAGTGCAAAGTTTTCATTTCAATTAACATGAAACTGCTTGTGTCTTGGAAAAATACTTTCAGTAGTGACAATCACCATTTGCCCCTGTCTCTACCAGTTTGAGGTATG